GTCAGAAACGTTTCTTGTTTTGTAAACCACTGGTTATATATAAGATGTTCTAGTGAACCACTTAAAGCCTCGAAAACGTGTCCATGAATGTGGTTTTCACTAACAGAGAGGATATTTGATAACTACTTCTGAATAATATTTTATTAGCTCTGGGCCCTAAAACTCCTATGCCGTTTTCTCTTACCGTATAGATAGATAATATAGCTGTTGTTTTTTTCCCACTGACTAGCGTGATGTAGCTGTTATTTTGGGGGGAATAATTTACTGATGATTCTGTTTATTCTCCTTCAGCTTCATTAAGGTATAAAGATGATATGTGTCTACAGTTTACACTGCAATGTTTTGATGTATATATATTATAGAATTATTAAATCAAGCTAATTACCATATCCATCACCTTATATACCATATTTTTGTGAAGTGAATATTTGTAGTCTAATTACTTACAGTTTTCAAGTATATTATTATTAACTGGAGTCACCATGCTCTATGGTATATCTTATTGGTGGTCTGTGTGCTGGAACAAAATGTGTGTGTGAAGGGAACTGAAAGATGTTTCTGGGGGATCAAGGCAGCTTTTGGGCTGAGATGCAGAGGAGCTTCTGTGATGTGCAGGGCAGATTTAGGTCTCCAAATTTTCACCAAGCGTAGTGTTTTTTCTCTGTCAGTTTTAACCATTTCCTTCTCAAACTTGCTAAAATATTTGTAGGCTGTTCTCCTTTACCTCTTTTCTCCCATTTCTCGTCTCCAATACTCACTATAATTTTCAATATTAACAGAAATAGGCTCATTCATCTATGTAGCCATTTAGTACTTATTTGAGTGTTTTTTGTGTACAAATAGAATATGGTAGTAGATGGGTCGACTTTCAGACATTGTCTAGTAGAGGAATTAAATAACCAGTTTAAGGATAGAAATAAAATGTGATCTTTATTATGAAAGAATAATATGTTGATGTTTTATAGAAAGTCCTCTAGTTCACGAGAGAAGTAAGTCACTGTTGTCTGGGACCATTTAGAAAGTCTTTGTACAAAGGTAGCTTAGACTTAGATAACTGTTCCTAGCTATTACAACAGTAATTGTGCATGGCACAAACAAAGCATGCAGGCAGGAGAGCAATGAAATGTATTTTAGGAATTGCAAGTACTGTAAACTTCTTGGATTTTTTTAATTTATAAATTACTGGAACCGGACTATTTGTCAGTGACCTTTAAAAAGACCATACAGCAGTTCTGAGCTACTGATTTTATTCTCTTGTGCAGCCTAGTGTAGCAGGTGCATAGTGAGCTAGTGATTGGCCTGGCAGTCACAGCCTTGCTTCTCTGTTCAGTCTTACTCTGTTCTCATTTTAGCATGTCATATGAGGCGGCAATGCTCACAAATTAGGATTATGAAAAGCCATTCTCAGTTGCTCTCAGTTACTAAGGGTCTGCTGCAGTAACTGTCTATAACATTTTGCCTAAAAACTGCCTATAGAGGGAAAGGTTTTATTGAGTATATAAAATTACAAGACAACAGGCATGATTTGAGGTCTCTTAAGAAAGCTAGAGTTTATGTCTGATGGGGAGAGGGGAGAGTGAATATACATGAATATGAATTTATTTCTTGAGATAGGATTTCGCTGTCTAGCCTAAGCTGTCCTAAAGCTTGTGACCCTCCTGCCTGAGTCTCCAACGTGTAGAGATAATAAGCTTGTATTACTGCATCTGATAAAAATGTGTGCTTACCATAACTGTAGTTCATTTTAGTTGGAGTGTGGGGTATTGATGAAAAGCAATAGGATGTAATTCAGGAGGTAAGGTGCAGCTAGTTTGTGAGTGGCCCTAAATGACTGGTAGATCAGTTAGACTTTTGTGCAGTAGACAGAAAACCCTTGGAGGTTTGTTGTCAGAGGAATTGCTATACATGAAGCTCTATTCAGAAAGATTAGTCTGGCCTCCATGGGAGACATTCAACTTAGGGAGACTACTACTACTACTACTTCCCACTGAAAATATTTTTGGATAGAAACTTCTGGTAATAATGAGCTAGGAAGTTCTATTTATTTTTTAAATTATGTACAATTCATATAAAACTATTTCAAATAATTTATCTTCAACATTATTGCTGAGTTATTCTTCGTTCTAAAGAAGGTCCTCATGTGCGTCTTTCAAAAAGAGTAACTGCACCGAGGCTTAGCACTGGGTGACAGAGCACTCTCATGTTACAGTAGTGAGGACAGATATGGATTAGTATTATAACAGTTAAAACAACCTAATGTTGAGAGACTGGTTAATAAAAACATTTTCCAAAATTGACTTCTGAAATATTTCACTTTAGCATGTAATCATCATTCAGTATAATGGCTAATCTGTAGTATAGTTTAATTTCTTAGTAACTCCTATTGACTGACTACTTTTTCAGATATTTTTCTATTCCCACACTATTCAGCCCACTGAACTATTGAGAAAGGAAAGACATTTTCTACCAAGAAAACCAAAGCTTAACAGAAGTGGGGTTGGTCAAAGGATGATTGTGTAGTAGCTTAGAAGAGGGCACCTAAGCAGAGTAGGCTGTGTGTACAGAGAGAAGCAAGAAAGTGGGGCCTGGTTGAGACAGGATCTAGGTGGCTCTTTAAGTACTGGCTTCAATAGCCAGACAGGTGGCCTTGGAGGAAGATAGGGAGGGTAACTAAAGGAAAGATATTGTGGTTTCCGCAAGTGCCCCAGTTTTAAAACCCTTTTAGGTAATGCCGAAGAAGCTCTTACAATTGGAAGCTTTTAAAAAAATACTGTTCCCCTCTCCCTCCCTTTTTTCCCCACATGAATACACTTGGTGTGGAGGTCAGAGGACATCTTGTGAGGGTTCTCTTTTTCTACCATATAGGCTCCAGAGATTGAACTCAGGCCATCAAGCTTAGTGGCAAGTACCCTTTAACCACTGAGCCATCTGACTAGCTCTGTTGAAAGATTTTTAAATACTGAGTTTTGTGCACCAGCCCAAAGAATGCCTTTCGGTTTGTACGATCATGTCACTATACATCTCAGATGGAATTGCTTAACAGTAGATATACCTAATGTGTGTTGAAGAAATTATCTAATACATCGAAGAATACAGTTAGAGAACGCTCTCCATTGTTGCATTAACAACAAAAAGTGACATAATGAACTGAAGGAAATAACTGTACAATACTTTTGAGTTTGTGTCTATACTTATATATATTGTCTGTTACATCTGTAATATTTCACCATTAGACACTGTGTTTTCCATAACTATTAAGATCTGCTATTTAAAATTATCCCCTCCCACCTGTCTGCTGTGTGAGTGTGTGTGTGTGTTTCTAATTTATTTTTCACAAGTTAAAATGTTTACTTCAAGTATAGTGATTCCTCTCTTCCCTTCTTGCCCTCGGCCCACTTGTCTTTACTTCATGTGAACTCTGCGTTTGAAGCATAAAAGTATTTGCTCATGAGTCTTTATTTAGCCCAGGACTGGTAGAAAGAGAAATAATCCATCAGTCTGGTGGAGCTTGGTAAAAATTCAAGAAAACTTCTCATACTGCACATTAATAGAAATGTTAATGCTAATAGGAAACCCCCCTCTACTCCCCAGAGGGAAGAGAGACTTGGGTCAGAGGCAGTTTTTTTTTTTCTTCTTCTTCTTCTTCTTCTTCTTCTTCTTCTTCTTCTTCTTCTTCTTCTTCTTCTTCTTCTCCTCCTCCTCCTCCTCCTCCTCCTCCTCCTCCTTCTTCCTTCCTTCTTCCTTCCTTCTTCCTTCCTTCTTCTTCCTTCTTCTTCCTTCTTCTTCCTTCTTCCTTCTTCTTCCTTCTTCTTCCTTCTTCTTCCTTCTTCTTTCTCCTCCTCCTCCTCCTTCTCTCCCTCCTTTCCTTCCTTCCTTCCTTCCTTCCTTCCTTCCTTCCTTCCTTCCTTCCTCCATTTCTTCTTCTCCTCCTCCTTCTCTTCCTCCTCCTCCTTCTCCTCCTTCTTCTTGTTCTTGTTCTTCTTGTTCTTCTTGTTCCTCTTGTTCTTCCTCCTCCTCCTCCTCTTCCTCTTCTTTTTCTCTTCTCCTCCTCCTCCTCCTCCTCTTCCTCCTCCTCCTCCTCCTTCTTCTTTTTTTGGCTTCTTGTAACAAACCCAGCTACCAGCTGAATGCCAGTTTCATCTGTTGCATATGTCCTAGTACAGTGCTTTTAAATAGTATTCCATGCTAGCATCAACATGCATGCCTGCCTGCCTGCCTGCCTGCCTGTCTGTCTAAAATTGAGTTATTGGTGAGTTAGTAAAGTTTGAAATATCATATTATAAGAAATAAGTGTCCATGTAGTAGCATCCAAAGGAGTATCTGGCAGTGATTTGACTAGATTCTGATGTTAGTTTCACTTACTGTAAAGCAGTGATTCAGTGGATGAATTTTCATGTATAAATTCTACTTTGAACAAAAGGTCCCCTGGCAGCAGATACATTGAATTAAAGATGGAATTTAAGAGCAAATATTGCTTACTAAAATGAGTAAAACTTTGCTACTTTGGTTTAAAATTTTATCTTTTCTCTGCATTGCAGTTTTTGGGTTAGATTCTCTTTGATGAGCTAGAACTTGGACCTCCACCTTAAAGTGAAAGTGAAAACATTGTTTTTCTTTTGGTATCTGACGCACAGCACATCATTATCACAGACAATGAAAGCAGTACAAGCTCTACAGGCAGGCCCACCAGGCTCTGTCTGAGATGTGTGCCGGTTATAGTCACTGAGCTTAGTTCATATCAGGGCTTTCAGAATGGCTGGATAAATTCATAATTTTCCTACTTATTTACAAACTGTTTGGAAGTGTAAGAATTCTTTGACCAATTTTAGGCTGGGGAAGTTAATATTTCTATTTTATTGGCCTAATCAAGATTAAGATAGCTAATAATGATTAAAATCAATTGATAGATGATTTTCTAAAAACAAGTAGAGTCAACTTTATTAATGTTTTAGACTACCTTATTTTTATGGAATTGTTAATTTTACATTTTTAAATTTCAGGTAACTTCGATTTTTACACCTATAACAGCTGAAATAGCAAGTCTTGATTCAGAGAATATAGATGAAATTTTAAGTAAGTATCTTGAATTTTTTTAAAGTATGTTTTCTTCTCTATAAATAATTTATAAATAAAATTTCAGTTATCTATAGTAGATATTAATTAAATGGCTTATTTTCCAATCTTTTTAATAACATCCAGTTAAGTTCAGTAATTGTTGTAGTGATTGTATTGTTTGCTGATACTGTGATTATAGATAGAATTAAATTGGGGGATATTCTGATTTTTGCAGATACTAAAGAAAAGCTCAAGGTATGGTTGATATGGTGGGTGATTACAATATAGGAGATTTTAAAATGTGTGCAGTGTCCATAAATTCTACTTCTTAAAAAAAAAAAAGCTAAAAACAAAAATGCCATGTCACTGGTTAGTATATAACCAAATCCAAAAGTATTTGAGATGAAGAGGAAATAAAAGTACCTACATTGGTTTATGTTTGTGGCTTTAAATGTGAAAAGAATCCATTGCCACCTCATGAGCTCTCTAGAGCAATATCTATATACCAGGTATCAGAAAGACACAGATAGCTTATTAATATCTGTGCTGCTTGGGCAGCTTCAGTTCCTGGCAGAAGCTGCTGAAATGCACCTAATTTGCATTTCTGTGTGATGGTGGGGCTTCTGATCCAGAAACCAGTTTGTGAATCACAGCTTGAATGAACATGCAAGTGAACCGAAAATGTGAGAGGTAAAGGGGAAGGAGCTTGAAGTATGCACTGTTATCCCTGTCACCTTCCAGATTCTGAAACACCTTTGTATATTGTTTTCATGAGTTCTGGAAGAGGTTTTTATTGTTGTTGTTAAATTTGTTTATCATTTTGCAACCCAATATCAGCCCTTCCTCTTCTCCTAGTACCCCCTCATGCAAGTCCTCTCCCTATTCCCCTTAGAAGGAGAAGCCCCCGTCTGGGTGTCAGTCAACCACACACAAACACACACACATCATGTCACTGCAGGACCAGGCACATCCTCTCCCACTGATGCTAGACAAGGTTGTCCTTTTAGGGTTGTGGGATTGACAGGCAGGCAACAGGCTCAGGGACAGCCCCGGCTCCACTTATTTGGGGACCTTGCTGAAGACCAAGCTGCTCATCTGCTGCATACGTTCAGAGGGCCAAGGCCCAGCCCATGCTCACTCTTTGGTTGGTGATTCAGTCTCTGGGAGTCCCTGTCCTCCTCAGGTCTCTCATTTTTTCTCCCAACTCTTCTGTAAGATTCTCCGAGCTTTATCTACTGTTTGGGTGTGTCTCTGCATCTCTTTCCATTGGCTGCTGGGTAGAGCCTCTCAGAAGACAGTTATGCTAGGTTCTTATCTGTGAGCATAACAAAATATCATTAATAGTGTCAGGGATTGGTTCTTGCCCATGGGATGGGTCTCAATTTCGGGCAGTCACTGGTTGGCCGTTTAAGTTTTTCTGACTTGGATTTAATCAAAAAAAAGCAATACTGTGTCTTTCTCCGGTCTTCACATCCTAAGATTCAAACAATAGTGAGATTTTCTGTGATAGAGTATTAAGTGGGTAGGGATCAGGAAAAATGGACTTTATAATGCAGCAAGGTAGATTTCTAAGAATGGAACATAGTTACCTATGTCTGTCCAGATCTCTTCAGGGAAAGAATTCTCCTCACAGAACTGGTTCCCAGTTACTGTGTGTATGAAATATTTAAAACTGGATTATTAAGTAAGCTCCAGACCATCCTCCTTTATGAGAATGGATTGCTTAGTTTACATTCCTGACCAAGATTTGATTTCTTTTTTGCCTTATATTCATTTGAGACCTAGTGAATGTATATCTATCAATGGAGGGTGTGGAGAAAGTGTTAAGTTATATATAAGCCAACCTTCCCCTTGTGTGGCTTTCTTGATGAGTTGGTAACTATTATCGTGAAGCTTTATTGGCTGTTTATAAATGGAAAATATCATGATGAAAATTATATTTTTAAATATGTCAATATAGACACAAATAACTTTGGTTTTGTTTTTTAATTTCAGATAATGCTGATGTTGCTTTAGTAAATTTTTATGCTGACTGGTAAGTAATCTTGTTTTAGTTTTGGGGTTGGTTTCATCTCTCTTTTCTTCTTTCCTTCCTTCTTTCCTTTTCTATTTTCTCTGTACATGAGAATGGGGCACAGATTAGAAGTCAGGATATAGGCGTGGCAATTTTATAAGAATAATGTTGATATTTTTCAACTTACATACTTTTTCCAGGAGGCCTGTAGTTCTTGCTCTGAATCAGATCTTTTCTTTTGTCTTTATATGGTACCAGGGACCATCTACTTCTTTTTACTTCAGGTTGATTGTCCCTTATCTGAACTGCTTTGACTCAGAATTGTTTCATTTTTTTTGGAGTATGTACATAGACTTTTAGCACTTGAGTGTTTTTAATTCAAAAATTCAAAGCCTAAACTATTCCAATATCTGAAACCTTTTATCATTTGCAATTTCAGACTTTTAAATTAGAAATGTTCAACTTAGGTATTGTTTTTTAATCTGTAATGCCCCACCAAACTGACTTTGAGGGCAGAAACAGTGTCTTACTAGTATTTCCAAAATCTAGAACATATGTTTGAAGTCTGCTAAAGAATGTGTGATAGAGACAGGAATAAGGGAGAATTAACTGAACGGCAATTTGAAGCGTGGGCATCATTGTTTTCATCCACTCCCTAAAAGGTTTATTACCTGCAGCTGCCACCTCTCTGTTTGGGCCATGCATGGCCCTGTAGCTACCTTAGTTTCCTGTGACAGTTGTCCTCCATTGGTTTTCTGTGCCTCTAGTCTTACATGTTTCCACAGTATTCTCTGCAGTATAAGGCAGAGTTTATATATTATAGATTTATATATCTTCATATTACGTAGTTTTACAATATTCTCCACAATATAAGGCAGATTTCTTCCCTACAGTGCAGATTAATTTCGTTCATACTGTACCTTAAATCTCCTTAATTTTGGGGTTAAAATGTAAGCTCCTTTCCTTGACCTAGAAGGCCCCTCATGTTGCATCTCTTGCTTCTGCTCTCATACTCTGCTTGCCACTCCAAGCTTTTCTCAGTTTCTGTGAAAACGTGTACTCTCACACTGTTCTCCTGCTGTCTTCCCACTGGGGGGTCACTTCCTGTTCTCACTCACTTCTTGTTAGCCACCTTTCAAATCTTAGGTTAAGAGCCACTTTATTCCAGTCATCTTTATATATAAGTGTTCCTACCCTCCTTTTAAGTCAGATTAGGAAACCTTGTATATGTCCAGTTTGTAATAATTCAGCATGAATTTTTAATTTTACTATTGTGTAAAAATTATATCCACCAATAGAAACTGGACTTTAAATTGTGACGCTGCCTGGGCTAGTGACATGCAGTATGTATTCCGCCTGTGGGAGACTGTGATGACAAGGTCTAGCTCCCAGGCAGACAGTGGTTTGTGAGGGCGAAAAACAAATACTCTGTACTGTGCTGTTTCTGAGCTGTGCTGTGTGAAGGATAGGCATAGTTAATGCGTTTATGCCTTAAGATATTTTCAGTTCACATTACATCCCTGGACTTAGTTCTTTTGTAAGTCAGGAAGCATCTGTATTTCCAATAGCCCAGGCTTACTCAGCTAACGCCTTATTCCCAAATACTATCTTTGCTTTGTGGAGATAGCTATCATAACTGTACTTTAAAAGGATGTACTTTGTTCATCCTTATGTACTTAGTTGCCTCATAAGCGCATAACAGTGACTCCTGGTTGAATGTGCAGATGTTTGATAGTAGTGTTTAAAGATCTTTAATAAAAAGCTGAAGATATACTGAAAACTACTATTTATAAAATGTATAATGGAGCTATAATTTTTAAGGCAAATTAGGATTAATATTAGTCATTACATTTGGTAGAAGATTATCTAGGCCAAACTTTACAGGTAAGGAGGCTATGATCTAGAGTTCACAAAGTACTCTTTGCTCTTTTGCCTTTACCTGGATGACCTGATCAGATTAGCACAGGGCAAATTAGAATGCAGTGTTCTTGACTGAGGAATTCTGAGTACATGTTGCTAGCTTTGTTACAAAATATGAGTTGGAAAAGTGGACTGTAGCAGTTACTTGAGAAAACATACCAACTAAAGAATTTCTTCCACTATTAATGGTGAATGAGTCTTCCTTTTTTTTAATGCAGAAAACCTGAGTAATTTGCTGATAGGCTTGCTGTGTTTGCTTTCAAAGGCTAGACTTTGTTCTCTTAGTTGGCTGTCTTATGTAACTGCCTAGAACTACTGTAATGCCTCAGAGTAGTAGACTACAGTAGGTATTAGTAAAGCTGTGGATGTGGCAAGCTCTACATATATTGCTTTAAGACTCAGGATTGCCCTGCAGGTAGATATTGTAATTCCTATTTTAGATTTAGAAAGTTGAGGTTCAGAAAGACCATCTGCTTAGTAAGTGGTAGATCTGGGATTTAAAGTCAGGAATCTCTAAATCTAAAGCTTACTTCTTTTCCACTAAATCATAATTGTAAATGACCCAAAATGTCTCCGCAAGACTTTTATCTCTTTAGTTGATTTGTTAAGGATTGTTTAAGCTCTAGGTTGGAGCTCTAGGTTGGAGATTACGTTCAGTAGACCATGAGAGTCTTTTAATAGATTTATTGGCTCTGTTGTGTTACCTGTGTAAATGTAGCATTTACATGCACATGAAGGTGCAGTGATACTAGAATTGACCTGTTATTTCTCTTTCCCATTTAGATTTTTAGTAGTTAAGCTGATACTATTTTAAACATGAATCTGCTTAAGAACTTAACTGGACAGTAACACTGGACAGTCCGGAGAACTCTTGATATGAGTCTTCCTTTGCTCCTGAGCCAGATGCCTTTCATCAGTTCTTTACCAGGCCACATCTAAAGTTTTCAGAACCATAGTCGAACCTTGTCTATGCCTTCTTCTGCCCTCTACCTAGTCTTATTTTCAGAAAATTTTAAGTACTCACAGACCAGGGGTTCCAGTTGCTCTAGCTTTTGAATTTATCAGCTTGCTCGTTTAACAGACATCTATTGAATGCTTACTAGAATATGTAGTCAAATAAGACACGGTCCATGATGTCCACAGACCCTTCCTACCTATCCCAGACGGGAGATTTAAGATGCTAAAGAGGAAAGAACCACTTGAAAGCAGGAGTCTGAAGATACAGATTGTGTCTCCTTGATATATTCTAGGACATCTCCTTAGGAAGTCAGGTGAGTAGGCTAGAGAGAAATACAAAACAAATAGGGAGGAGGTATAATTCTGCATCCTTGCATATATTCTTTACTGGATTGTTGCCAATCTGTGTAAGATCACACATGGATTTATGGGCTTCTTCCAGTGAATGTCTTGGTACATAAGGGCAATTACAGTGTTTCATAATATCCTCTTCCATACCTTTTCCCATGAAATGTCCATTTTCCCCTGCCAGTTGTATGTGTACACTTTCTTCTTTATCCCCCTCAGGTCCATTTAATCACCCACACTTAAGTATTTCTGAAGTGTTGGCCTATTGAGGGGCAGTTAGGATTAGAAGTAACAATTTCCTGGAGTAATTGTAGCTATTTTCCCTGAAATAGGTGTGGGAGGGAACATGGTCAGGAAGTCTTTAGGAATTTGAATATCTGCTTCTGGACATAGTATGTTTATGTTTACAGACACAAAGACCTATTTTAATGTGAGGTTATATTTTGAAGAGAAAACACAAATTATATGCCATATATTCTTTTATAAGAACTTTTATTTAGTATGTTAACTTATATCTGAGATTGATGAAGTAGCCATGTGTCTGTAATAAACTAAGTACATCATAAACTAATGAAGTAGCCAGCATTTGCAATAACTCACAGTTCCAATAACATGGAAATGTGTTCATTGTCCAGAGAAACTGATTTCTTTTTTTTCTGTAAACACTCAAATCTCAGCAGTGTAGGTTAGAGGCATGCTGCAGGCTTGTGTCTTGGCCTCTGGGAAGGATCCACGGCTATATGCGTCGTAACACTGGCAGTTAGTCATGAGGCAGAACAGCAAACCAACTTGATATTTTACATGATATTGAATTAAAGAGTACAGTTTTTTAATTCAGGTTGCTTTCCTCTCATTCACTGACAGACTTCAGAAACATGATTGAGTTGAAGGTGTGATTGCCTCACACTTTGTTTATTGAACGGATACTAAACATCAATGAGTGATAACTGAAGTAAGATCCTGTGCCTTCTGGGTTTCCCTGCTAATTGGTGTGCTTGTCTGTGTGTAGGTGTCGTTTCAGCCAGATGTTGCATCCAATTTTTGAGGAAGCATCTGATGTCATTAAGGAAGAATATCCAGATAAAAATCAAGTAGTGTTTGCCAGAGTTGATTGTGATCAGCACTGTAAGTAACTGAGTAGGAAGTCTGGAAGAAATTGTCCTAATCCTCCTCTGCACATGCACAAACTTTTCTTTTTTCAAATGCCCTGGTTTCAGTGAAGATGAAATCTAAAAAGGATTGGGACCTAGGATAAATTCCTAATATCTCATCTTTTGTGTCTTTTTAACTCCATGTTGCCTCTGTAACATTTGTGGGATTTTGTTTTGTTTTAATTACAATACAGCAGTTCAAATATATAGGTAACAAATTATAACTAACTATATTTTCTACCAAAGCAAATGCTAAAAGCAATAAATACAATTGAACTATAGTTTTGGAAGACAAATGGAGGGTTTTTTTACTCTGAGAAGCATGCAAAAATATAATACTCAATTTAAATAAGACTAAAATATGGTGTTCATTTAAAATAAGACAGTGTCAGATTTTATTGTGTTTCTATTTGTTATTTTAAAGATTCTGCAAAGACTGGCTTTGTAGTTGGAGTGTAATTAGCTGTAATTACTATTAAATTATTTTTAAAAACTTTGGTTAGTCTCTCTAAAAATCTTTTTTTTTGAGTTTTGTTTGTTTGTGGAAACTCTCTGCTTTTTAATATAAATAGAAATAATTTCTAAGTTGGACTAATGAGCTAGCAGTTTGTGCTCCTCCCAAGTGCTCTGTACCCAGCTTTCCCTTCTTAGAGCTAGTTGACCTAGGTAGGTCTCCCATTGGATGGAATCTTAGCTCATCTTTGCACTGTGAGTTCCTCGTCAGCACTTTCTCTTTTACTTTTTCTTGTGCTCCCAGTTGTAGAGAATTAACAACTTACTAATCTTTATATGTCATACATTTGACAGTTTCTAGAAGAAAAGCTTGGTTGTATTGAGTTCTTGGAAAGTTACTATAAACAAAACCATCTCCTATTCTTCAAATTTCCTGTCCTTTATATTTGACCTACTGATTGCTGTTATTCTGCTCCTGAACATGTGGTCAGTCTGTCTGTCTGTTTGAACCATTTTTCCAGACAAAGAAATAGAAATAAAGTGGCTTAACCAGTGGTGCACAGCTTAGTATACACTAAGTCGGAAGAATTAGAATCCTGACTGACCAAATGCCTCCCTCCATAGGGCAGTTTTCTTCTTCTCTGTTCCATTCAGACAGCATTGTGAGGATCTTCTGGCACTGCTCGATGCTGAATACAAAAGCATTTTCTAACAGCATATCATTTCAAACTATCATAAACCATATGCCATATTTCTGTCTGTTAGGATTCACAGCTGGATTAAATAAAGAGGGCAATAAAATGTAGGTAGATGCATAGATGTCTCCACACTGCTTTCTTCCTTCGCTGTTATTGACAGCAAGATAGGCTTTGTGGGCTCAGTGTTCAGATCTTCCTATTCTTTTTGTATTTAGCTAGAGGTTACAATGCAAATGAGTCTCTGAGTCCCTACCAGCAGTGATTTGAACCATTGTGCTTTCAAACTTGAAGCCATGGGGGAGAGAATTAGTTATTTCTATGCTTGAACTGTCTGTGTACATCATTTATGCTATATTTTAAACAGATAACTTCTAAAATGAATCACATTATTATAAGTTTCTTGTTAATTGAGGAACTTTTCCAATACAGCCATATAGTTCAGTTGTTGTTTTTAACCCATTATTGTTTACTCTTGAAAGTTACATCTGTAGTGTTAAGTCCTTCCTAAATAGGTTTCTTGTTTAGATAACTTTTCTTTTAAAAGATAGGACTTATTGGCAACTTATTTATGTTTTGTGATATTTTCACTTTTTTTGGTGTTTTCTTTAATCTTGTAAGATGTGCTCTACTCTTTCTAGTTTGTATGGGAAAAGTTCTGAGCTGGGATAGCGTTAGGAATTCTGTGGTCTGGGGAGAAGAACCTGTTGGTGAGAACACCCTCTGCTAGGCTTGCTTTCTGTAACAAAGTATTATTAAGATACAATTGGCATGTGAACCCCAAGTTTAAAATGGAACAGTGTAAGCTTTGGTATATGCTTACTCCATGGTTTATCTCCACAGCTAAGATTCTTGCCATCTCTTTAAATTCCCATTGTACCTTTTATGGACTTCCCACCCCAGCTACTCACACCTTTAGCAGATCCCTTTTTTGGTCATTTTCTAAAATTTTATGTAAGCAGAGTCATACAGCATGTGTGCTTTTCTTCTCTTTTTGCTTGGCTTTGTTATTGTGAGATTATTCCATGTTGTATGGTGTTATTATTTTAAAGATTTTTGTTTTTGAGACAGGGTCTCACTGTGTAGCCCTGGCTGGCCTCAAACTCATAGATATCACCCACCTCTTGACTTTGGAGTTCTGGGATTAAAGGCATGCACCACTATGCCTGGTTCATTTGTTTTTAATATTCAGTGACACTCAGTTGTAGGGTGATAGTATTGAGCTTGAGAATGTTTTCATACTTTTCATATGACAGTTATATATTTTTGATAAAGTATCTATTAAAATTGCACACATTTTTGTTGAATTATTTTCCTGTTGTGTGTGTGTGTGGGGGGGATTTATATGAGTCTTAATCCTGTTGTAAATGTATTGTTTGCAAATATTTTTTCCCATTCTGCTTGGTGCCTTTTTTTTTTAATTGAACAGAATACCTGTAACATACAGTTGGCACCCAGGCTGTGCTTCTTTGTAGCTCCAACCGTGTTACATATGTTTGCATTGTTTTTTATCCAGTCTCGAGATTGCCTTATCTTGTGAAATGCTGTAGCCCTTGCCAACTGCCATTCTGCTTTCTACTTCTAGAACATGAACATTCTAGATATCCTGCGTACATGAAATTGGATAGCATCTTTGTCATTCATTTTGCTTGGCATGATAAAGATTTTCCCTATGGAGATCTTTAATAAAGCAACTCTGAGATGATCCTTGTTCATATTGCTTTATTTGCTGGAGGATGTGAGCGCATACACTTCATTCTGGGTGAACTAGGGATTGTATACCTCTTGAGAGAAGGAATACCCAGGAAGGGGAAGGTCATTGGCTGAAGAGTTAAGGTACCAAAATGCCCCGATTAGCATGGAGAAACATTGCAGGTATTTATGCAATGTGACTGAGTGCCCAGGGTTCCTCTCAGTGGAGTATCATGGTTGCAGGTACAGAAACAGGTAGGAATAGACTCCTGCTGTTTTAAAATTCTGAGATTCCTAGGATCTGAACTCATTCAAACTTACCAGTTCTTAAGCCTGTCTGGTAGCACAGTCCCACATGCCGTACAGTCAGGACTAGTTCCTTGTCAAGGCATTTGTTACAATTTTTCTTTTAAAGTGGTATATTCCAGTGTTTATTATAAGTGTATAACATATACAATAATGAAAGTTATATGAATCTAGTTTTGCAAAATATTTTATTGTACTAAAACTTAAAGGAAATACTTTCTTTTTGTTTGGATTTATTCAAGTTGCCAAAATCACTGCTTAGCATGTAGTCATTCCTAAGTATAAAAGGACTTGAATACAAGCACTATAGTGCGATAATTGATGAGATAGCCAAGACAGCTACTAAGTGACTAATGGGCAGGCAGTAAGTACACGCAGTGTATGCGTTGTGGATATGCAGTGTATGCAGTGTAGATATGCAAGATAGAGGAAGACCTAGTGCACCAGTCTGAGGAATTAAGACATGACATTTTATCATTACATTCAAAATGGTGTTCAGTTTCATAGTTTATTTCTTGAATTTTTATATAGTATTTTTGGCTGCAGTTGACTATGAATGTGAACCTATTATATAGCACATTTTGCTTATCCATCATCTTATATTTCTGTTAGTATTGCATGAGTGTTTCAGCTTTCTTATATTTTTGCTAACAGTATGTGTACTATTAATGATATATATATGTGTGTGAGTGTATACACTCACACACATATATATACAGTAAGTTTTTGAGAGTACCTATTATGTAATGGATATGAGGTGATATGGTTGGTTTGCATTTCCTAAAGCTTACTGATGTTGAATATCTTTATATATGTTTGTTGGTTATTAAAGACATGTTCATTTACTTAGTTTTTACATCAGTTTTTATTTTCTTTCTGTTATTGAATAGTCAAAGCTCTTTATATATTCTGGATATTAAATCTTTATCATGTACATGATTTTCAGATATTTTTGTCATCTTGCAGATTGTCTTTTTAGTTTGTTTGTTATGTCTCTATGCATAGTTTTGTTCTTTCAGTCCTGTTGTAGTCTAATTTATCTGTTTTTACATATTTTTTTGCCCATGTTTTAGGTATCATAGCTAAGAAATCGTAGCAAATCCAATGTCAGTAAGCTCTCCTGTACTTTAATACCTTTCCAGTCTTAGGCCTTATGTTTAGGCCTTTGGTACTTTTTGGCTTAAATTTTATGTGTGGAGTAAGGTAAAAGTCTAGCTTTATTTTTGTGTATAAGGTATCCAGGCTGTCTGGAACCATTTGTTGAAGAGATACCTCCTGAACCAATTAGATGGTGCTGATTGATTTGCTTATAAAGCAGCAGACAATGAAGTATGTGGTTGTGTATTTCAGGTTCTCTCTTCTGTACCATGATCTCTGTCAGACAGTTTCATTGTATCTCTATGATAACTCTTGGAATATGGAAATGTGATACTTCAATTTTGTTCAGTTTTGCCTTTTGTTGTTGTTTTCAGCTTTTTTATTACACTTATTTGTTTTCTTTTTATGTATTGTACATGCCACAGCATGCATGTTGAGGTCAGAGGACAACTTGGAACAATCAGTTCTCTTCTACCATGTGAGTCTTGGGGATTAAACTCAAGGTGTCAGGCTTAGTTACAGTCACTTTTATTCCCCTCTCCCCACCTTTTTACACTGTTTTAAAAGTAAAATATACTTAGCTTATTTCCCCCATCCCTCTCTACCCTCTGTCCCTTTAATCACCCCACACTCCATTCATGGCTTTTTTTTTCTGTAATTTTGTTGGCTATATATTTGCAAAAAATATATAAATGCAAATGGGCTGAGTCTGTTGAGATTTAGGGTTGAC